CCCCCTGACAGCCTCCCCTCTCATCACCTGGCATGTGCCATCTTAGTCATCCCAGCTCTCCCACCTGCCCCACCCCAACTCTGAAATATCCTTTCCCTCTCCTGCGCGTCTCTTCCTCTTTCCTTTTCTCTCTTGTCACTACCCCCCTTCACAGTCTCCCGTTTTATCACCATCTTAGCGGCTCCGATCATCCCAGCTCTCCCACCTGCGCCACCCCTCTTATATATCCTCTGATTCCACTTTGATTTGAACCTGCTATGCACATGCCATCAATGGGTTCGGTGTGTCATGCCTATATACATCATGATTCATATCGCAAATTCAATGCATATATGATGGCACACACAAAAACACATCTGAGTGTATATGATGGCTCCTCACAATGTGCCATCTATACGGTCAGAAGCCCTTTCATATGCCGCTCCGCAGGAAAAAGTAGCATATGGAGCACTTTTACTTGTGCCATCTTTTGGTAGGGGGGGTATAGGTTCCTTTTGCTCTTGGGTTGGAGGCCATCGCTGGTTTCGTTGGGCTTCTTCGTTCCGGCGGCCCTCCTCCCGGCGACCCGAACCGCTCCGAACCGCTCCGAACCGCAGCGAGGCCACGCCCCGAACGAAGACGGACGAGTTCAGTTCTTCGTTTCTTCGTGTTGACGGTCTTTTCTTGAGGTGTCCCCGCTACAGGCCTTCTTGAATACAAAGAAGTTTCATGAATGAGTGAAACCGACAGCTTGTCACCTTTCTCTTCAAACAATCATGAAAGTGAAAGAGTTCACATGCCCTGGAAGGCTTGCCTTTTTGCCTTGTTCCGTGATGTCGGGGTGAATCCATTCAGCTGATTTTTGTTTTGGGAGGTCAAACTGGGCAGATTAAAAGACAGAACATGTTCCATTCCGAACCAAAACAATCCATGTGTGGAGTAGTTACAGTATCTACATTGGGGTGGTTTCAGTGGTCAATGTAGGCATATAATCAATTCATATCAATTCAATTATGCAAGTCAGCATGATTCAGGATGTGAGATGTAACATGTCAACACTGGCGACACATAGTTGCCTGTGGAGACGGACCCCCAAATAAGCTTCTCCGTCTGATATATGTGGAGAAAGACTTGGTGGAGAAGGTACGTCATACGACATGCTGCGCGTTCAAATTTTGTCCTCAAGATATCTCTAGAGGGCACATGTTGCTGTTTGTCGTTTCAGGAGGCATCTTGTAAGTGGGCTCCCTTTAAGTAAAATGAACATATCTATAGTGACGGACAATCACTTAGAACAAATCGGTGAAAACAACACACAAAAGAAGATAGCTGGAGAAACCTGACGCTTAGAACATCCAAAACAGAGCTGGAAAACACATCACTTAGAACAAAACAAGCTCGTTTTTACTAAATCTATCAATTTGTTCTAAGTGCTTGTCCGTCACTATTAAAGGGTTGTATACACCCTTCATGTGATTGGGTTGAAACGCTGTAGGTTCCTTTTGACCTTTTGAAATAAAGGGCAGATGATGGGTTCTACAGGTCATCATAAATCAACCAGCATCTCTTGGGGCCCAGCTATGAGAGTGACGCGCTTTGGTTGGGGGAAAAAGAACTGGATGCAGTCTGAAAGCTGCATAATGTCCCTGCATATACAGTATACACACATGAGATCATATGAGTGTATGTGTTCTAAGTGTTGGGGATGAGTTCCAAGTGTACGGATTTCGATTCTAAGTGCATGGCTTAAAGTAATATTATGATGTGTTGTTCTATGTGTGGGGTCCTCAGGAGAAAAACAGCTATGTTACATTCCGTAACTATACACATATCTACTGCAGACTGTATATATATATAGGTGTTTGATATTCTTATATATTCCAAGCTTCCGGTCTTAGATTTCATCTTCAAACCTACTCCTCCCGGTCTTCTCCACGCTCATCCCTCCCGTTCTCCTGGCGACCGTCGACTGCCGCCGCGGGGCGCGCACCAATGGCGGCGCTGCCGCTGACTCAGCCTGTGCTGTGGAACCTGACTGTAGACCTTCCAGTGAAGTACGATGACGTACTTGATGATGGTACTTCTGTGGAAAACGCACGTACCATGCTTCTTGAACCAAAACACAACTCCTTTTGTTTGCATGTTTAGCACGAGGAATCTTGCATGCAGACCATAGCTGAAGGGAGATAGAGCCTTCGGTCGGCTTGTGTCTGGTCGGTCTTTCTTCTCCGAAAAAGAAGGATCGTTTAGCCTGGGCCCTGATCGCTGGCGTAGCTCGTGTAGAGCTAGTCCTACACTCCCTGAAACAGTCTTGGTTACATGGCATGAGCCGTGGTTCCATGGCACCGCCTGGCCATGCGAATGTTCAATCAACATCCTTTCGGGGCCATGCCATCCACGGCCAGGCCCATGGGGCTGTTCCAGGGAGGCCATCTCTTTGCATTTCAAGAGTGGTGCCTTTGGGTGGTGCCTGGTGCATCCACTATGTCGACGATGTCAAGAACTTGGGAAGACGAAAAACGTACCCATGTTCAGCCATCCAATGTTCTCAGGGTGGTGGACTCTTAAATGTGGAGACTGGAAATCTCGAAACTTGCAGATTTACAGGCATTCAGAGGGCCAAGAGTGATCCATTACCATCAGGCTGTAGGTTTGTAGAATCCAACCTGCAACCATATCACATCCTGTCCACCTCTCTCAGGAGTAGAAAACCATCGTTTTGCCGCTTGGCTTGGGCTGGCGCGTAGGGCAGGAGGAATTGGCATCCTTTTTCAAGATTCAATTCGATACCTCTGGTCCGAAACTGACCAATACCCTCTTGCAGAGGACCACATAGACAACCACAATCACTGGGTTGGTCTTCGGAAGATGGTCGAAACCACGTTAGTCGATTCTCAGGGTCCATTGTGGTCCGTCCGCAGGAGTGGATCGATTGGCTGGCTGCATGAGTTGCTTGTATGGGTCCTATAAAAACTATTCCCTGTAGCTCCCAGTTCTGGCTACCGTTTTTTCTTTTATGAGGAATATGGAAAGCCCCTGGCGACCCTCAGCTCCCTCCATCTGCCCACTCTCTCGGAGATTGCCTCAGCCTCCGGGGACAAGCTGGCCAAACGGCGTTCCTGCGGGTTCCCGTTTTGACCAGGAGAGCTGACGGGGGACCTCATGGCCATATGTACAATATTGCACAATGGTCAGTAATCATGGTTAGGCGCCCAAAGTACGGGGATGTTCATTAACCTACTAGTAATATATATATTATTACAGTATAAGGATTCCTGTTGTGGGATGGACGTAAAAGAATTCCACATGGTGAAAATTGACCATGCCTCATATATCCCAAACACTTCATGTGATAAAATTTTGACAAGTATTGACCTACATTGGGGTGGTAAACATTGCAATTATCAAATGCTATTTGGAATCCTATTCCCAGGTCGCCTAGCTGATTGTCATGTTCCTCTATCCTGGGCGCTGGAATGTCTCCACAACGGAACACAGCCATGAAACGATAGGTTCAAGTCGATCTAAAAATTGAATTCAGAATATTCAAAACTCCCGGAAAACCTTCCAAGCAAATCGGACATGATCCACACCAGTTTCAGCCAGTCGTTTCTTTCGATGGCACCCCCATCTAGCCTTGTCGATACTCCACCCCAGGTCGAAAGTTGTCAACATTTGCCTTTCCTCAAACCCTGTCAGAGAAACCATGCATGTTTTGACTTTAGACCGTGACAGGGGAAGAATCTATGCCCGGATTCTTGCTGATTGATTTGTAGCCGCTGTGAAAAAGTTGCGTTGCAATTCTAAAGTCGAATCGCCCTGATTCATGATCATTTAAAGGGAATCCCGCGTCAAGAATACGGCGCGTTGGGAGAGATTGGTAGTGCCTGCCCTGAGTTTGTGTTCTTAAAGTCCCTTGAGTCAAAGATCCCAACTATTCAATACTGGACTGTGCTACGCCTACCCCTAAACAATGGAATGGCCTCCCACTCCCATCTTAAAGGACATTAATCTACTTCAAGTGATCCCACCCAGAAGGGCCATTTGGAAGAAGGCAGGAGGGCACATGTATCGATAGACTATCCTGACAAATGTTGCCTCACCATTCTGACACATAATCAGAAGTGCCTTGGGTTTTGGAATGTCCTGTGACATCCCTTCTGGCATGTGTTCTGACATTTGTCCTGCCGTCGAATCTGACATATCTTGACGCATATACTTCTGACGTGTGCTCTCGCATCAGATCTGGCATGTGTTCTGACATTTGCATGTTCTGACATGTTTTCTTGCACTTCTTCTGCCACCAACCCGACATATGCTCCGACATTTGCATTGATATGTGGTCTGACAGTCTGACACGTGTTTTGTCACCTGTCACCTGGTCTGACATTTTTTTTCTGGTATTATGTCTGACAAGTGTTCCAAACATGTCCAACATAGTTATGCTGTGATATGTGTTCTGGCATGTAGATCTGATATGTAATCAGTTCTCTCACATCAGTTCTGACATGTGACCGACGACTGTTCCTACATTTGGTCGGATATGTCTGACAAGTGTTCCAACAAGTGTTCTGAGATGTGCTCTTCCATGTTCTCTGAAATCTGTTGTGACAATCGTTGGAAAAGTGTTCCGACATTAGTTCTGAGATGTGTTCTGGCATGTATTCTGATAGCTACTCTGACATTCTTCTGACACCCTTTCTGCTGTATGTGATGGCGCTCTAATTGACATTCTTTCTGGCATCTATTCCGGCATCCTTCCTGGCTCTCTATCTGGCATCTATTGAGGGAACTCTATCCGGCATGTATTCTGACATATTCTGACATCCTTCCTGATTCTAACTGGCATGCTTTCTGGCCTGTATTCACTGTATTCATGACATTCTCTCCAATGGCGTGTGGTGTCGGGTCCGTGTGTTCCCAGACAGAGCTGGCGCTCCCACACCGGACAGCTCGCTCAAGCTCGTCCGTACGTGCGCGAGCTTAAATCACCAAGCCTGATGCACGAGGGTCCAATCATGTGAAGCCTCCCGTACTACGAAGATCGCAGATCGCAGGGATTCCCAGACATCTCCAGCATGACACCTTCGTGCCAACAAATCCGTCCCAGTGACACATCCGTCCCCGCCGTCCCCGCGCCTTCAAGGCTGCCAGCCGGCTGCTGCGGCCCTTGAGATCTCGCGCTGCGGTGCGGTCCTGCGCTACGGTTCTTCTTTAGACGAGCGAGGAGGGACATTGAGGGACTGGGAGTATCTCCCAAAAGCACCTTGAATTCAACGACTCCAGAACTCCTGAAAAGAAATTCCATGTGTCCGATATGATGGAACTGGAAAAGCGACAGTGATCACTGATCCCTGAAAATCAACTGCACCCAGTATGGTGAGCCACTTTTTCCATAGGAAAGCACTCCATGTATATGGAATATACTGTACGAGTAGCTACATTTGACACTAACTGTGAAATGTTACAGTACAAGTACTCCAAATGGTCGGTCAACCCAGTCCGAAGTGCAATGGAATTGGTAATACAAATACATACAAATTGGGTCTATCATAATACCTGGTTGCCAGTGGATGATGACGGTTAGTAATAGCCAACAGTTCAACAATAGTGATATCTGTTTACATGACTGTTACAGGTAAGTTCGGACAAACCCATACAAATACCATCAGATCTGGCGGCTACAGGTAACTGGAAACAGCCATACGTCAGGCCGCGTAGGCCGGCACATCCTAAATCGCTTCTGGAGACTACTGACGACTGGAAACGAAGGCAGCGGACTACTGCTGTGTGGGTGAACGTGGACCGCGTTTTGGCCGGCACAATCAAAGTAAGCGACCAAGGGCTGCTATTTGCACCGAAGGAACATTAATCCAGCAACATAAAAAAACAAAGAGACATGTTCTCATGAAGTGCAGGTCCATACCTCTTGAACCTCCAAGCAAAAATAGACCAGACATGACCAGACTTTTATATATTAATCGAAAATAATCGAAATACGGCGATTGCACTGGTCTATGAGACCAAAACGAGGTCGGAATCCTCAAAAATAGTCTCTTGGGCAACGGGCCTTCTACTCTTACTTCTCAGGTGCCATCTACTCCCAGTGGATGTCAGTCAGTTTACTCATTTACTCCTTCTGTATGCAAATAACCACGGTCCCTCGGTTTCGTCTATGTGTGTTTCACTTTTGGAAGCAGTGCTTCACGTGGATCTAAGATCTAAGGAAGGCCGGGTCCCATGGAGTCGATAACAGTACTTACACTCCCATTTCAATGGGCCTGGCCGTGGATGGAGTCGAAGGGCCCCGAGTTCGGATGACGTGAAACATCCGAATACCAAACAAGTGCCATGGACTTGAGAAAGGGAGTGTAAAGGCTCCAACGTCCAAAGCTAAAGACCGACCTTTCACAAGCAGTCTTTGTTCGCTCCGATCCTCAGATTCCTGACTAGATGGATTCCTGTGATTGGACTAACACGGTGGACCGTACCGTAGACCGCCGACGAAACCCACGGGGACCGGCCATCCAGAAGGCGTCTCCGCGCGGGGCAGGTGCGGCGCGCGCCCTCCGTCGCGCCCCGTGGTGCGGCGCGCGCCTTGTTGAAATCCTTGCAACTCAGGCTGGGCCGACGCGCCTGAAGCATCGACCGAGCCAAATCCGAACCGAGGCTGGCGAGTAGGAAAAGCGAACCAAGGGGATGAAGAGAAACTCGAAGCCAATGAAAAAACATCGCAGATTCCGGAGGATTGGATACTTGGGGCAGTCAGTTTCAAAAGAAGGAACAGTGTGTTGTAGTGGTTGACCTTCCGGTTGTTTGGAAGCACATTCCCCCCACCAAAAAAAAGAATCTAGTCACATGGGCCATGACTTGGATGTTGTGACTTGGAGAGCAACTTTTATTCCCAACGGGCCAACGGCCAGTCACGACCGCTGAGAGAACCTTCTGGTGGATCTCCGGGAGCTCTCCGACGAGCTCGAGGCTAAAGGAAGGGCTGCGTCAGTCTGTGGGCGAAACACTCCCTGCCCGACTCAGGTGGATCGTCCAATCCATCCAAGGCGGTAGCTGGTGCGAAAACAAAGTTGCTGGCCCTCCCTGCAACAAGCATGGGGCCATATGGAGCCCCTGGATGGCACCCCCTGCTTGGTCTTCGGATTGATTTCATGGTCTGAAACCAACGGCCCTGCATGGCCATCCACGGGCCGCAATGGCGGTCTGTTTAGGTTTTTGGTCCAAACCAGCGAATTTTCACCAGAACAAAAGAAACACAAAAGCTTGACAGCTTGGGCGCACGGCCTGCAAGTCGAATACACCATGGAGGACGCTGCTTCGCTCGCGTGGAAGCAAAGAACCCCTTTCTTTTTTCCCACGGACGAACTACAACCATTTCTTAGTCCCGTATCAACAAGGTACACTACCACTTGGGAATTGAGCTTCAAGTGTTTAGAGTGGTCTAGGTTTTCATATCAATAAAAATAATTGAATGAATCTCATCTCCAGACTTCTTATCCTATCAGGAGCATCTACCCTCCCATCTCCTGATAATCTAGGCTTTCCGGACATGGTCGGCCTTCGTGAGAGCCGAATCAGACTTGGGCCTGCAGCGGTTTCAGCCAGCAAGTGAGGTTGGCCCAAGACGTTTCTCATAGTCGGCCCAAGTGAGGTCTGACAGTGAGTAGAGGCTGGAGTTCATAATCATACCTTATTCATATAACAAAGGATGAACATGGACAGCAACAACATAGCATTTCCAAATGGCTGTGGGGAGCTGGCACCAGGATACCCACCGGTTGACCAACCAGCAATGGCTGTGGTCGGTCGGTCGCTCCACGGTCTAGGGCTCTAGACTTTGACCAATCCCAATATCTAGCGGATTACATACTGACTGATCATCTGTCTCTTCCCTGTGGCATCGGCTGTGGAACGAGCCCTCACGATACAGCCGATGGGATCGCTTCGGTTGCCTTTTGCCGTTACTTTGCATCTTTTGATACTGGCCTTCTCAGTGACAGCTCTTGGAGGTTGCAGCTTGTATGGGACATCTTGGCTACCAATGGCTTCTGGATCAAGACTGTTTCGGCCAGATCCAACATCTGCTTCATGGTGGACTGCCTCCAAAGTATCGGTCCTGATATTCCTGGCAAACAATCATCCCAGGTGAGATGTTGAAGCCTAAAACACACCAGAAACCACCAACCCAACATGTTCAATGGATCCACATACCGTGGCATCCCCTGGGCACCGTCAGCACCTGAAATCCCCCGTCCCGGGTGTGGGTCATGGGACCCGCACCCACCCTGGTAGGTTGACCGAGTCTATTCGGACCTATTCGTCTATTCTGGTCGTCTATCCGGTGGGTTGACACCTGGGCCTGGTTGAAAGACCCGCAGCCACTTCTCAACATGTTTTCCCACACAAAGACGCTCGCGACACTCGCCTCGACAAGGGCATCGTGTTCTCTTTTTTCAGCAGCGAATGCACGAGCTCAAACAAAGAGGACGTCGGACGAACGCCCAATAACGGGTGAGTTCTTGAAGTGTCATGTCCACATCATCTGCATAGTAGCTATGATAGGCTATTGTGAAGTCCCTTGCACTTATACAGTGTATACTTGTTTTTTGGTCTAGGATGTTTTTTGGATGTTTTTGGTGTCTTTGTTGGAGGTTGCAGAAGCTGAGCCGTTGAGCTTCTTAGCCTTTCCCGGTACGCATTGCTTCCTGTGGGCTAGCAGTGCATCGGGTCCTGGTTGGAGAAGAAGGAGTGATCTCAAAAATGCTTGGCCGGGGGCACATTTCTGAGCAGAAACAAAGGCTGCAAAGAAGCCAAGGTGCTATTCTAACGTATCAATCTCAAGACAGTATTGCTTTTTCTTGTGTGCGGGAGGTCAAAAGGTTTCAAGTCAGCATCTTTGTTAGGCACCCTCATGTTTCTGCCGCTGGATTGTCGTTATGCTGCCAATTCCCTGTCTCAGCACCCCCGATATGGGGTGGTTGGGGTGGTTTAATGGTGAAGTACATGGTAGCTGGTAGAGGGTCGTTTTAACCACCCTTTGGGTTGTGTTTGTCATTTCATGTTGAACATCATGTGAAGGCACCCAGCACCGGTGAGGTGACCCTGACACGACAAGAGGTGGACACCAGCAGCTATAACCAGCTGACACGACAGGGTGCCAGCTTGGAGGGGGACAGATCCCCAGATCCGGATGATCAGCTCACTTAGGGTCGAACAAACCACCCACCCTTTGAAACATGTTTTCGACCAGGACCCTCCTGTCGGGGTGCCCTGTCTGGAAGCCTAGGCCGGTAGTGTGGGGTAGTCCAGCCAGGACACCCCGACAGGAGGGTCCAGGTACCTTCTTCATCCTACTTCTGCAAGACCAAATTGATCATAAATGATCATGTCCCACACCGCTGTTTCTCCACGAACACGCCGCCAGGTCTTTTCTCTTTTTCGCTGGCACTGACCTGGCTGTTCAGTGTGCATTCAGAAGCTCCAAGCCACTGTTCAGTATGAAACATGGGGGTCTCCAAGACTGGTTAGAGCATCCTGAACCCAGCCATTAATGGATTGGAATAGTGGTTTCAATCTAATCCGCTTTGCACTCGAGACACTCAATCCGCTTCAAATGGCTTCCAGAACACTATCAACAAGGGGCCCTTGTTCTTCCTCAGCACAAGGGGGCCCTGTCTCGTTCTGACCATACCGCGGCATGAAAAGGTCAAAGCAAGGCACGGAGGACTGAGGCGCGTTGATCTCTTGCGAAAGGCGCGTTGACCTCTTGGTGTTTGGGTTTTCGGAATGAGAACAGCGCTTAGGCCCTGAACATCTGGAAGAAAACACTATGCCGTGAAGCTTGCGACTTGGCGTTGGATTCCTGTGACATGAGAGGCCTCTATCGAGTTGCCAAAAACCTGAAACATATAGCATGGAGCCGTACCACTATGAAACCTAAATTGATAAGTTCACCAAATATCTACTTAACTGAAATTACTTCAAGAACAAACTGCTTGTCATTGCTTGTACCGCTTACATGTTGCAGTTGGGTATGTTTTGGCTGTCGTAGTCGTGGTCGCCGCTCTTAACATTGAGTGTTGGCTGTTAGCCCGTCACCCTTTAACAAACCCTGACAGGCTGATTAGAAGCACCGTTTTAACCAAAGCAAGCGGTTGGAGGTGTTGAAGTTGTTTTTGACCTAAAGCAAACAGGCTAAGTGTTGCTGGTTGTGATTATGGTTGTGGTCCTTGTGGTTCTCGTTGTGCTTGTTGTTCTTGCGGTTCTGGTGGTTCTTATGGTTCTGGTTGTTGTTGTGGTTCTTGTGGTCCTTTTGGTCCTTGTGGTTCCTGTGGTTCTTGTGGTTCTTGCTGTTGTTGTTGCTGCTGTCGTTGTTGTTGTTGTTGTTGTTGTCGTTGTTGTTGTTCTTGTTCTTGTTCTGTTGTTGTTACTGCTTCCCTGGGACCTGCCATCTCCCCAGTCCCGCTGCACCACGTTGCTTCTTGCCTGGCAAAGAATCTGCTGTCTTCTTGTACCTGGGACTGGCGATCAGCTGCCCCAGCGTCCCGGTCAACTCGGTCTCTTTCCCCAAACAAACATCACCAGAATGGGTGATATTGCATTTATACTGTCATGCCAACCTCCATAAACAACGACCCCGTCGGATTGTCACACTTGCTACACAACCCGCTTCGGATTGTCTTTGCAATGCTTGCTTGGATGACCATCATCATAACAATATATAGTAGTAATAAGTAATTCATGATCGATCCTCATCAGCTGCCTGTAGCTACTGCCATCCCCAGCTCCTGCTTGTTGGATGCTTGGCCTGGGGCGCAGACCGCCTACCTACGTGCCTTTCAAATCCACCGGCACCGGTGGATCGTCTTCCTCCGTGCCGGTCCTCCGCCCCGAACGAACGGCCGAACGGCCTCGCAGTTGCACGGAGGCTTTGCAAAGCAAAGGCCTGCTGAGCGGAACGACCGCCGGCTGCTCCGTGAGAACGAGAAAAGCCCTTTTTGACCCACCAGCGGGCGGAACGGAACGGATGGAGACCAAGGAGTTGGGAGTTCCAAGGAGGTTGATGTGGATGCTGGTTCAATCATTGGAAGCATCAAATCGTTGGCCCAGAAAGGCCAGCGAAAGCACAGGAAAAGATTCGTTGGTTTGAAAGGCTCGAGGCTATCCGACGTGTTCTACCAAGCAATCACCAAGTGCTCGAATGACGACTGACTTGGAACCGATCACACTCAGCAAGTCTAGTCACCTATTTTAAGAGTAGATGGCACTGACACCCGAAGATGTCCTTTAGATGGGCCCCATAATATAAACCACCTTTTGGGGATTGCGCCATCTGTACTTTTAAAACCACTGTAAAGGTGCGTGTCCAGGTCTTTTGCGTCATACTTAAGGTTGCTCCCTTTTTCTTTGTGTGGGTAGCTAGACTCCCTCAAGCTATGTCACGTCGGGTACTCAGACCCTCCAAAAATCCCAGCAAATTTTCCCCACATCAGCCCGAAATGTCCCCTTCTCAAGAAAGGCAGTTACACATAAAGTTACACACCAGTTCCCTGAATTTGCTGCCCTCTTCAAAACAAAGACATGAGTGGTGCCAGCCTCACACGTTCCGATCTGCACAGCGACAAACACGACGGAAAGCCCCCGTTGCCGCCTTTGCCGCGCACACTGGAGATGCAGCGAGGGTGGGCCTTCCTCCAAACGGGCACCACCTGAGCTTGACAAGGTTCGAAGCGAAGCAAAGGGTATCGAAGGGTCGAGAACTCGTGAAGACGTTCTCTGGTCTCAGCTGCTCTTCAGATTCTTGTCAAATAACTTTTGTGTCTCTTTGAGAGAGTGCAATGTGTTGATGTGTCTTTTGTGAACGGTTTTGTTTTGGCTCGTTTGGTAAAAGTGGTACTGGAACGGGGTGCTGGAACGTGGTCCAGTGCAAGTGGTCGACTGGTTTGGATGCGTTTTTGGAACGGTTGCACCCTTCCATCCGCTTATAGATGATTTTAGATGTTTGCTTGGTTTGGATCCTCTTCCACTTGTGGTCCTTCTTTGCACGGGCACCTTCCTCTTTGCAATGGGCACCTTCCTCACCTCTCCTCGGAGATCGAGCGTTCCGCTCCTTTGATCCCCTTGAGCGTGGCCTGAGCTTTTCGCGTGGCTTTCTTCGGCAGCTCGAGGCGGGTTTTTCCGGTGGAAGTCGTAGGAAGTCGTAGGGCTCCCAGCACTCGGATCTCCACGAGGCATGACGATGAGACTGACTCCGTGAACGGAATTCACCCACCGGACCGGACTGGACCACTCCATCTTTTCCCACAGATTCCCACCTGCCTTAAGAATCCGACACCGAAAACCCTTCTCATTTTGAAGGCCCGGATGCTTCGGGCTGACAGAACACAGCCTGGTCGGGTGATGTTACAGGGAACTGCGCTGAGAAACCTTGGGTCGAAACACAACTCGATTGAGATTCTGGTTGAACAGACCAGTTCTTCCACTGAGGGTCTTTGGCTTAGGGCCTCTTAGGCCTCTCAGGGGTTGCATCTTAGGCCCTCGTCATGGATTGAGTACTATAGCTAGCTTCTTGTTACTAATAGCGATGGCCTCCAACCTAATAGCGATGGCAGCTTCTTGTTACTGGGCCCTCGTCCAAATTCTTCCGCTTCCCCCACCGGACGTCCGCTGGGAAGCCCCCACTCAGCTCGCCCAGCACCTCGGCGTCGGTTGGTCGAGGAGCTCGGAGCTCCCAGAGAGCGGGTGGCGTTGGATGAGTAGATAGACCCACACTGAGGTGCAATGCTCGATGAAAACCTGAAAGTCAGCAAAAGAAACAACACTGACCTCATCCTCCAGTTCTGCATCATGTATCATCCTGGCATCATCCGAAAAGGGAACACTGGTGTCAGTGTCTTGGCATCACTGGCACTGGTGTCTTCTCCGACAAACGTCGACATGAGGGTCCTGTCTTTCAGCCAATCGGGACGAAAACAAATAAGCACAAGCAAATGAAATATATGTGTCCTTGAGGTAGTGCGTGGGATGTAACAGAAACATATACAGTAACACAGTAGAAGTTATCTTCCGGATGTTGTTACTTTTTGTTTCTCCAAGACTTTCGGGTCCGGCTGAGGTTGGTTTCGGTCCGATATGCTGCTCACGATCCAGCCTGCTGAAGGTTGAGAAGAAGGTTTTTTGTTCGGTTTTGGAGGTCCCCTCAAGAACTCACCTGAACCTGGAACATGGAACCTGGCATATATGACAGCTCTGCATTCCCATCCATTGGGTCTTGAAGTATGTTTAACAGATCCTGAAACGGAAACTATCCTGAAACGATTGGCAGCAAATTCCAAGAGGTCATCAACTCGTCGAGGTCAAGGGCTCGCATGTGTGGCTAGGGTGCCGTACAAGGGGAGGATCACTGCCTGCCATGAATTTGCCTAAAGGACTCTCCTACTTCCTTAGAAGGTATTTAGATCCTCCAACGCCATCCCAAACACCTTGGAAACGGAGGTAGTTGGAGTCCGAC